TTTCCAGGGGAAATTCAGAAAGAATATACTGGATGCTTCAGACCTGTTAGTAGAGGAGTTTTCAGGGCTGTGCCTCTGCAGCAGAGCCACTGTTGGAGCACCGGTCACCTGGAGGCTGCTGGCACACACCCTTGCCCATCCTCCGGGCTGTCGTGGAGAGGATGACCCAGACAAACACTCGCTTTTCTCTCAGGTACATTCTAAGAGTTTATGAATTACTGTCTTTGCCCCTTTGGTAGCATATAGAAATCACTGCAGAAACAATAGTTTCCTTGTCACCTCTCTGCAAAGACTAAAGCTTCTGCAATAGACAGCAGAACGAAAGGTATTTAAATCTTTATTCATTGTTCCATGCGACAGACTGCTAAAAGTGTGAGCATTTCCAAAATGTACCTAGTCTCATGCCACATGACAGTATCCACAGCCAAATCATTCACCAAGCAACACCTAGCAGCAATGTTCTCTGCACTAGGGCAGAAGTTATATGGGACAGTGAATAGTTTTGGAAAGAAAAAAGAAAGATGCCCAAGTCTGAAATACAGTATATATTCCCTTTCTGCCTGATTAATTAGGATCAAGTGTACTAATCGATGGATGGAAAAAGTGTAGCTTTTCAGGAAAGAAATTAAATTGGAAGTCAGTCATAATCATAAATAATTTTAACTTTCTTGTCTGTTAATGACTGATTGCTTCATAGGCTTTCTCACTTGCTGTTGTCATAAATTTGTCCTAAAACTTGGAAAGATTTGAATTTGGGTTTATGGCTTAATCCAAGATAGAATGCAATATACTGAAAGATTTTTGCTGACTTCATTGTGCTTTGGAGAAAGCCCTTTTGACAGAATTTTCCATATTTGCTTTCAAATATTTTTTTCCTCTGGAATCCTAAATTTATGTTGCTGATAAAAATCGGAGAACTTACAAAGGCTTGAAGAGTAATATGTGCGTTTCTGTTACATTGCAGTGACTTCAATATATACCACAAAGGCATTGCTAAGACTAGTCTATTTCTCAGCCTGAAATCATTATTAAGTGTGTTCTTAAGGGACTGATACAATAACATTAAAATCAGAATTTTAAAATTACTTTGATTTTACTCTTGCCAAACAGAATTTCTCCCACTGAAATCCTTAGAATTTACAGTCAGCTAGAAGAGGAGAATATTGAGTATTTGGCTTGATAAAAAGTGAGTCAGGCCCTTAGGATTTGAGTTATTTAGTAATAAATTCCTCCAAGGAAAGTATTCACTTTATTAATATTTCCTGATTGAAACATATTTTGTAGGATTTGGGGTGTGGGATTTTTTGTTAATATCATAATGTATTTCAGTTAATCATAATGAATCATGCCAAGATAAATATTTGAATTGTATATATTCATTGGCGTACATTCAAGTGTAATTCTAAATATTTAGTGGCAGCCCTGGCATTTGCAAATAGGCTACACATGATTTGAAAAACTGAGGACATGCTGACTGTTGAGGAGGAATCAGTATACTTGCACTGTGTGAAAGGATAGGTGTATTTTATCCAATTAATTTAGCCATGGGATTGTTATTCAGAGTTTATATTGCAGTAAGAGAGAGCAGACTCTTCTTCTTATCCCAAAATTAACTGTCACTCATCTCACACTTGTCCAAGACTGACATAATGCTCTCTGGCAGCTTGCTAACATCTCCAAAGGCTGCCATGCATTTGAACTCCGCGGTGGATTTCTCACTTGTTGCATCTTGAGCCTTTCCTCCCAGGTACCAGGAGTATTCATAACATCCTGTGTAAAAATACAAGGAGGAATACTTCAGGCTCTACATTACACACAGGTATATAGCCCAGGTCTCTTGATGACAATAAAGCTTAGTCTGTTTGTCTTGCCTAATGGCTATTTTAGCAATCAGGGTGGGAAAGAGTACTTTAGTTCTGAGCACTGGTTAATGGGATCAGTGGAACGCTATTTATGTTTCACATGGAAGGAGGAATAGAGTTACCTGCCAACCTCAGACAAAAAGCACGGTTTTCCCTGACTGTGAACCAACCATTAGGGACATGTATGTTGTAGCTGAGCTAGGGATGAAAGCTAAGAGAAGGAATGAAGTAAAGAATGTTTAAATGCTCTACTTTGGGAAAATATCCCAGCAGCGTTAACACCTATTGGTGTAGCCAGACCCAACTCCAGCATCCTTTGTTTGTGAAATTCGGTGTTGTTTGCCACATCCAATTGCTGAATTGCCAGAACACAGCAGGTGAGGTGGGTGCTGGAGTAACGTGCAGTTTTGAGAGGCTGTTTAATGCTATCAGTGGCTGATTGCACCACAAAGCAGCGTAACTGTAGAGGTTTTGTTGCTTACAGTTCAGGTAATATTTACATGAATTAACAATGAAAGTCTTCAGAGATGTTGTGAAGTGGAACGGCTTCTACCAGTGTGTGTATGTGGGATTGGAGCATAGGCATCTCACACACATATTGTTTTGGTGCTGAAATGGACATGGCTCCAAAAGGGTCTTATTTTCCGGTTTTGAATTTCTGTTTCTTATGTTGGCTATCCTGAGGACAGTTATCCTGAGATTTCTAGGACTGATTCCATGATAACAGTTAGAGCAAATCTAATGCCTTTAACTCATTTATTATATTTCACGGTTTGAAGACTATGTGGCTGTACCTGGTTCTGCTGTATGGAGACACGTATGAAGCCTGTCAGGAACGGCACCCTTGTAAGAGAACCATTAGCTGTAGCATACCTACTGCACAGCCAAAATGTAACCCTCTCGTCACAAACAAACTAATGTATGCATAAACAGTATATGCTGTGTGTGTATCACACCAGTCCTTAAGAAAATACCACTTCTGACTGCACCATAGATAGATAATTTTATTCCATCCCAGCCACAGACGTCCTTAAGGAGGTACTGAGGATTTTGTTGCATATTATGAAGAAAAGACAAGAAAAATAAATTATATGTTGGGTTTGGATCACAATAAACATATTTCCAGAAAAAGTAAGAGTTGGGCTGTGATATAGAATGAGTAGGAAGAAATGCAAGTGAAATTTACCAAATACCTACGTAAATTAGAATTAATGCACTGAACAGATTCAGTTTAACAGGAGTGGGCTGATTTGAGAAACTGATTATGATTTGAATATTAATGTTTGAGGACAGAGAAATAATCTAGAAGCATTCAGAGGCTGTGTTTTTGTACACATAACATTTTAACTCATAACCAAATTATTACAGGAAGAGTCTTCCATACATTGCCTGCACTCAGGTGTCTGTCTAGGATCATGGCATTTGTTTTTTTTAAACTGAAGGATAACCTATTTGAAATACATTTGCATTTACTGTGGGGTTAAGGGAAAGCTGCTTTGAGCTTCCTGTATCAAGATCCATGCCATTTCATATTTTTAGACCAAAGAACTTTCTTCAAAGAGGATAGTAGTCAATGGTAAGATCTTTATAAACTTATCAGGGTAATACCCGTTTTTAAGTAATACATTTAAGTAGGGCATATTGAAAGCACTCCACAATCAATTTCAAGAATAGTTTGTGAATCCTCAATGATAAGAATGGGAAATTGTAAGAAAAGAAGCCTGAAAATCTTTACTCGTAATACAGGAAGTCTTTCAATATTAAACAATGAAATGGCTACAGTTGAGTCATCTTAATGGTATCACATCCTGTTGTCTTCCATTAGAACCATTACAAACTTTAGGAGCCAACAGCTTGAAAATCTTACTGGGGGAAAGAAGTGCAGCTGAGAGAGATGAAACACTGAAAGACTTCAGGACATAGTCATGAGAAGAATAAAAGCTGTCTTGTGAGGGTTGTAAAACATTTTTGTTGTGCTCTGTTCTTTCAAGAAGCATGTACAAATTTTCTGAGAATGAATACAAAGAATGATTCATATCGAGCTTAGTGAACAGCAATCTGGTCGCAGAAGAGGCAAGAGGTAAAGGACATTTGTACAGGCAACACAAAGCCTGGAGCAGGACAAAGATGTTCAGTTTGCAAGGAAGGGGTGAGGACTGTACAGGACAGGCATTCATGACTGAAAGCACCTGGTTCTAAATTTCCATAAGAAATCCTGGATTCCATAAAATCAGTGACAAAGCCTCCCTGGCTTCCCAAGACTTCCCTGTCTTGCTCATTTGCTTGCTTTACTGGACATCCGCTTGTGTACCAGGCAATGCTTCTGTGGTCATTTCTGAATGCTTTCTCCTAATCCTTTTGACTCTTCACTGGAGGAGTAGAAACCCATATATTCGTGTTTTCCAATGCCAGAGTTCACCTGATAAGCCACTTCCACATGTTTTCCTGATAGCCGTTAGCATAGACCTATCTTAGAGAAGCTGGCAAACTCGAGTTGGATTGCTTGAAGTGACAACAATCTAGATGTCTAGTTAATGTAATTTTGATACTATATTATAAATGCTATGAACATTAATTCTGAAGAAAAATTCAAGCAGACGTGTTTCAGTCGCAGTATTTTATTCTCTATATTTGTCTGTGTATATACAGAACAGATGTATTTCACAGTTTGTTTTCAACTTATCTGCTCGATTATTCTGTATAAATATTAATATATTTTTAAATACAGGACCAAGGAAATTATGTGTCAGTACCAGGAAATGACACCATGAGGTAACAGTTCAGACAACATCTGTACATACATCATTTTATACACCATTTTCTAAAATTTTGAAAATGGTGATAAACCCACCCTTTGGCAGACTGCAGTTAACCCTTCAGTGACCACTCTAGCTGTTGAAATGTGTGTCCAGTAAGCGAATGGAAAGCGCACGCTGTGCTGACCACATTGCAGCTCGATGATCGGGAGCAGATCAAAAAGGTGGAGCAGTTTCAACAGCAAAACTTGTCCGGCACCGTCCTGAGAGCTGCAGCCTCCCCACGTGCCTGCGCCGTGGGCCGCCCCCGGCTGCTGAGAAGGACCGTCCTTTCGTTGCAGGTGCCTGGCGGTTTTTGTTTTTCTTTAGGGAATCCCTTTTAGAAACAACAACGGCAAAATGCTGCTTATCGTTAGTTACCGGACAGCATCAGCGCGGGGAAGCACCTCCCCGTCCGGAGCCCCCCGGCCTTTCGCCGCAGGCCGGCCCGGCGGTGCCTCCGCTCCCTCGGGCACACGCACACCCGCGCCGCTCCCACCACGCGTGTCTTTTTTGACACAGAGCAGCAGCCTATTGGATTGCTACCACAGGACGGGTTCAGGCGCTTCCCCCACGCTCCGCTTCTTTTTTCTTTCCTTTCCTTCCCTTCCTTTCCTAGGCTCCGCTTGCCGTAGCATACACCCTCCCGAGGGGTTTGCCTGGATCATTTATTTATCCTGTGCGCATTAAGAAACCACCATTAGGCTTTGGTGGGAGGCGCCTTACTTTCTGCGCGCTAGCCTGCCTCCCTTGCGCTGCGATAGGAATACACAATTGAACAGAAGCTGCAAGCTTGGCAGGAGCTGCCTTCTGCGTGCCTATTTATTTACCGGATCCGTATCTTTTTGCCGACTGGGTCATTGCCGCCCTCCCCCCTCCAGGGCTTCATCTTTTTTTTTTTTTTTTTTTGTGTGTGTGTGTGTATTTTTTTTAATTCTTTTTTTTTTTTTTTTTTTTTTTTTTTTTTTTTTTTTACCACGGGAACCCTCGCCGGAGTTTCGATGCCGGGCCGGACTTAGCACGGGCGCGGAGGAGCTGCGCGGAGCCGTGCCTCCTGCCCCCGGGCCCCGCCCGCGGATCGGCCTCCCTGGCCCGGCGCCGGCCGCGGGTTGGCCGCGGGGCCGCGGAGTGGCGGGTGCGCTGCGCCGCGCCGCCGCCTCCCCGCGGAGCAGCCGAGGGATGCTGCTGCGCCGCGGCCGGGCATAGGCAGGAGCCGAGCGGGCGGGGGAGGGAGCGGAGGGAAGGAAGGAAAGAAGGAAGGAAGGAAGGAAGGAAGGAAAGACGGAAAGAAAAGATCCCTCAGCCCCGAGGGGAGAGGAAAAAGAGGAGAGGCGAGAAGGAGCGTGAATGTGAAGGAATGTGCCTGCTCGCCGCCGGAGCCGCACGCTTGGGATAAAAAAAAAAAATAAATCGAGGAGGCTGATTCTTGCGACTTATTACCCGGAAAAAAAAAAAAAAAAAAAAAAAAAAAAAAAAGAAAAGGGAAAGAAAAGGAAAATCCGAGAGCAGAGGGAGAAGGAGAGCGAAGAGGCTGAAGCGGGCAGCGCGCAAGAGGAGGGCGCCCGGCGGATGGCGCGGCCGTCCCGCTGACTCCGCGGGCGCGGGAGGCTGCGCGGGGCGGCGCGGCGCGGCGCGGGGCATGCCATGCCGGCGGCGTGACTGAGCGGGGCGCTCCCGCCGCCCGCTCCGCTGCGCCGCGCCGCGCTCCCCTCCGCCCCGCTCCGCTCCGCTCTCCTCCGCCCCCCTCCGCCGCATGCCGCCGGCAGCCGCGGCGCGCTGATGCCCCGGGGCCGCGGCGGCGCTGCGGACGGCCCCTAGGATGAGCGAGGGGGCTGCCGGCGCCGCGGCGCCCGGGGCGGCGGAGGCGGCTGCGGCGGGGGGCCCGGTCGGGGATGGGGCCGGGGGGCCGCCGCGGGAGCTGCGCTGCAGCGACTGCATCGTCTGGAACCGGCAGCAGACGTGGCTGTGCGTGGTGCCCCTCTTCATCGGCTTCATCGGCCTGGGGCTCAGCCTCATGCTCCTCAAGTGGATCGTGGTGGGCTCCGTCAAGGAGTACGTCCCCACCGAGCTGATGGACGCCAAGGGCGTGGGGCAGGACCCCTTCTTCCTCTCCAAGCCCACCGCCCCCCCCCGCGGCGCGGAGACCACCGCCGCCGCCACGCCGCGGCCGCCCAGCCGCGTCAGCCCCCGCCTCACCACGATGAGCCGGGCCCCCCCGCGGCCCCCCGGCACCCGCGGACCGGCGCGGAGCGCTCCGCGGCCCACCGCGGCGCGGCACCCCGCCGCGCCCCACACGGCGCCGCCCGCCAGCGGCCCCCCCGGCACCGCCGGCCGCGGCGCCCGGCCGCCGCCCGCCGCCCCCAGCACCCCGCCGCTGCCCGCCTGGCCCACTGCGGCACACGCTACCTCCTCCTACAAGATCTACGTCCACGACTCGGCGCCGTCCTGGACCTTGTCGCCCTTCCAGGAGTCCACCACCACCACGCCGGAGGCCAGCACGACCCCCAAAACCCGTAAGTGGAGCCAGCCGCCCCGCGCCCTCGGGGCGCCCGCCCTGCCCGCCCGCGTCTCCCCGTCAAATCCCGGGGTCGGGCCGGGGCGATGCCTCGGCCGGAGGCTGCCGCCCCGCCTCGGGGGGACGCGGGGTTCCCGTGCCGTCGCTGCCCTGCGGGAGGCCGCAGAACTCCCAAGTTTGCGCTTCTTTTCTCCCTCCCCCGCTTGCGCCCCCATTCTTCCCCCCCCCCCCCCCCCCCCCCCCCCCCCCCCGACGCGTTCCCCGCTTGTGCGATGAATGGTGAGGCAGGAGCAGCCATTTGAGGTGACTAGATTTCGCTCTGGTTTTTAGGAAAGATGCAGGACCCCCCCCCCCCCCCCCGCCCTTTCCTCTTCCAGGCTGGTCTGCGGAAGGTATTTAGGAGCTGCTGGGAGGTGCTTGAGCGAGAGGGACAGTTGATGACCCCCCAGGCGGCGGCGGTGACTCCCACAAGGGGCAGTGGGAAGAGCGGTCCTCGGGAGGTGCGGGGTGGGTTGTGCCTGTGCTGCTGAGGGAGTTCGCCTTTCCACACGGTCGTTTCCCTTGAAATAGGTGGGAGCGGGCTCCAGAAGGATGCTCCTTCCGTCCCAGCGCCCGGCTCCTGAAAGAGCCGCCGCCAGCTCCACCAGGAGGGAGCCCCGGGCGCCCCGCGAATATGCAGACGCAGCCAAACGCTTTCCCGGCTCCTGTGTGTAGCCAGAGCACCGTCTTGCCTTAACTGAATTTTTTTTTGAGACAGAGGGGGGGCTAGTTTCCCGATTGATGCTCGGTGGCTGGCTCTTCTCACCCTCCCGGGCACAAACCTAAGGATTCGGGCTAAATCTGAAAATTCGGTCGATCTGGGTGCATCAACTTTCAGCTTCTCGTAAAGGTTATCTAGGACAAATGAAATCCGTGCCAAAAGAACTCCTGTGTGGTGCTATTTAGCGAAATGCTCAATTATACTGTACTATAGTCATCTTCTGCGTTTTCGTGGATACAGTAGAGGTAATGAGAAGCCCTGTGTCCTCCATTAACTCTTAGTTGCTTCTGCTAGGAACGTCAATTCAATTGAATGCTATCACCTGAATTGCTTTTACAGCCCAGGGCTTGCCTTTTGCATGCTAATGTCTGGTTATTCTGCTAGAGGATTCTGTTAGCAAGTCATTTGAACTTTATTTTGTCCATTAAATCTATTTGCGGATGAGCCTCGGGGCAGAGCGTATATGCAGAGAGGACTGATCTTGTGAATTGACAAAATCGGGAGAAGAACAGCAAATTGGACGGGTATGTGTGGGTGGGTGGGTGTGCAGGTGGCGGATGGCTGGGAATGATTATGAATAAAACTATCACTATATGAGAAGCGCAAACAACAAGGCAGTAACTCTCTTCCCCGGTGTCTGCTACAGTCATTGAGAGAGAACCGTCCCTTCCAGGTGTGTCTGAGGCTGCTTGCTCTGCAGGTACAACCTAAGGAAGTCACATGTTACCAGAAGGAAAATCTTTTGTGAAGCTGAGCCCTACCCATTTCACTTAGGTGTAGGGAGCTGTAGAGGGTACTTTTTAAAAACAAAGCAGAAAAGGGAGCCTGGTTTTCAACCTATGTCTCTTGTTGAGCCTTGTGTGAGCTAGATATGTTACATGGTGTTTCAAACTGCTGTGACCTGTGTGTGTCTGAAATGCTGCCTGGGCTTGCCAGGTGGGATCTGTCGGGGTCTAAATACTCCCTTGCAATTTCTTTCTTTCTTTTCTGTCTCTTTGGGTATGTAAGAGGAATCTATAGCAATGTCTGCCCCTCTATGCTGTTTCCTTGCAAGGTGTAGAAGGCAAGAATATCCTGATTAATAAATAATGTTCAACTGACAGGACTCTCCTCCATGCAAGACGCACAAAGGAAGAAGAAAACCCACAATCTTGAAATGTTCCTGGCAGTTGCAGAGTCTCATAACTATTATTTGTTTTAAGGAGACTGCTAAAATCTTTTGCAGCAGGGTGTTTCCCCTCATTATATACAGCTTGGTTATAGGATGAAATGCAAGAAGTGCAAATCCAACAGAAATTGACCCTGTTTGGGCACATTGATAGCAGAGATTATCATTATGGAAGATTAAATAGATTACATAAAAAAGGATTTGAATTTATAGGGCATGTGGAAATTTTTTTGAAAGCCTACAGCTGTACTTTCCTGATACATATAAGCATCTCTGAGGATACATGTAAAATTCTCTGAGGCTGCAGTATCAGGAGGGGAGAGGGAGAAGAAATGCAATCTTTCTGCCGTGAACTGCTGACATGGTGTGACCCCAAAGCAAGTGTCTGCATCTGCCACTAACAGCTCTTAGGAAGAAAGAGAATTTTTTAAAACAAATTCATCCTCATTTCCCAGGTTGAGCTGCGTTTTCCTTCTGTGCCCGTTGCTCCAGCTGCCACTGAAATGAAAGTCATGGATCCCGTTGTACCGTGCGAATACAAATCTGACATGACGAACCTGATGCCCCAGCTTTCAAAATAGTACACACCTTTGTGTGATCCTCTGTCTTGGCAAAGGACGTATGTGGGCAGGAGTCATAGGTTATTTAGTATTTCACAGGTTTAAGAAAAGAGGCAGCTGTCTTTATTTATACTGGTTCATGCTGCAGTTTATTTAATTGTTTTAACATGTTAAAATGGGCTCAGAAAATGACTTAGGAAAATGGAAGGCAAATCAGGAGTTATTTCTCCAGAAACCAGGTGATTGCCCACCTGAAATAAATGTTGGTAAAGCCTTTTCTCTGTGTGTGTATTCATCTGAGGAGATGTTGTGAGATCTCTCTTTTTTTTGTGGGTGTGCGTAATGACAATAATTCTTGGTTGTGTTTCACTCAAAGTCAAGCTATCTGTTAGCTGTTTTGAAAGTTCTTGATGAAGATCCTTCAGGTTCTGACTAAGCAAAAGCCACTTACTCATCAAATCTTACTCTGTGTCTTGTGCCTGTATGTGTTCTTCATGATCACACACCGACTATGGCTTTTCAGCGTGAGCCTCTTTATCCAGTGTTCAACATAAAAATCAATTGTTGATTTAGAAGGATAGTCCAGCCTGTAGATCAGAAAAAGCAACCAACTGACTGGAACACACCAGTGAGGTTTTATTTTTATCAAGTCATTGGTTTCATTTCTAAAGAGTCATGCCCTGATTTTTCCAATATGCATTTTTCATGGTATTCTGGGTTCTTCAGTAATGTTATTATCTTTAAATTGAGATACTGTACTTGTAAGAATTCCTGTGTGAATTCAGCTATGAAATAGCACTGTGGTTTCTCTTGTGTTCATATGACCAAAGGCTAATGCAGAGAACTGAGGTCAGGCAGGTGGGGCTCAACTAATGCATGGTAACCAAGGAAAGAGATGTCACAGAACTCTTAATCAATATATCTTGTGAAGTCCAATTGAGACCTTTTTTGATGAGTCCGGACTGCAACCTGAGTATACGTTGATTTTCTGCTAAAGATTTTCTGGTCTAGTCGTTTATCCTAGTCATATTTCTGTCTCTTTGAGATGCACGGCATGGGTTCAAGTAACAAGAATCTGGCAGATGAACTGTTACCAACACTGACATTTTGGTAAAAGCTGTTTGTTTTATTTTGCACTGACTCAAATATCTTTTTCACATTAAGGATGACACTTAGATGGAACTGCGGGGTTTTCACCAACTGGAGGGTGTTGTGGGAGGTGCCAAACCATAGTAAAACCAGATCTACTCTTCCCAGAGCTCTAAAACGTTCTGCCAACAAATGACATGTATCTGTGAACACTTCGCATCATGATCATGAGCTGTCATTGAAATTGAGGGGAGCACACGTGACAGTAAAGCATGTGCCTTTAGCGTTGACTAAGATTAATATGTCAGTTATTTATCAATTTGTAATGCATCAAAAGCTGTTGAATTGGAAAAAAAAATACTCAAGTGAACAACTGGGACTTCTAAAAGCATTTGCTGCTTCTTCATTCCCACTTACTTTCTATTCACATACCATGAGTCAATGTACCACAGACATGATTAGATTTGTGTTTCCCATCTTAAATACTTGTCAACAGGAAGGCTACTGTCAAGATAAAAATAATAAATACAGAATTGTAGTCACACCACTAAAGTGGAAGTTGTTGTAATTTTACTTTTCATATTTTATAGCTATAACTTCCTTCATCTGTTTCAGTTAAGTGGGATGACACTGGACTTAATTCCATTTTCCATGTATAAATCCCCTTTATAGTTAGGAACTGGCACAGTTATCACTGAGTTCATAAGGAAGTGGAATGTTTAAGTAAGTCCCACTCACAAATACGTACATTGATTCTATTTGGATACATTTCCTCTCTGTTCCTTTTATTGAAGTGTTTGTTGGAATCCAATGACCTAGGAGAGCTTTCACAGCACTGGTATGATGAGAGGAAGGGATATGGCTGATGTTACTCCATGCTGCCTTTTAACCCTGAAGAAAATTCTTCTGGGGGTGGTAAGGATTCTCATTACATTGATTTAACCTGTGATCACTGGTAAAAGCAAAGCCTTGCATTTTATTTGGCATATTTTTTTAGCATCTGTACAAGGACATTATGTGATATATTATATGTTGACAGCAGAATACCATTATTAAATTAAAGTATTGATTCATTGCAAAGTATTATGCTAAAGTAATGTCAGTGGTTTGTCTAAACCCACAGAAAATGGAAATTAAAAATTAAAGCAAAAGACCTGTCTCTATCTACAGTACTGTGTCTAGTGTTGCAGTACATTTATCATCTGACTCATTGCTTTGAAACATCCTGCAAAGCCCAGTAAATACACAGAATGGTATGGATTTGGCTTGGACTTTATCTTTAAATTCTATAGCTCATGTGGCTTTCAGGAAGTACCTAAAACATACTGCTGTTTGGTTTTACTGATTTCTTCTATGACTTGTTTGGAAACAAACTGCACAAGGAAAGGTGCCTAGCAAAATCATGTAGGACTACTTGGTCA